AATATCATGACGTGTTACTAGCGTCACGTGACTTCCGCTGTCGTAACAATATTATGCAAGAAGGTCAATGATATTATTGTCTTTCACTGAAAAAGCAGATGATATCACGATGTTATGGCCTCTCCTATGTTGAATGAGAATGATCAGTGACGTGGGTAGAGCTAGTTACTATGGGTACAGCCAACGTTTTACATTAAGTAATAAATGTTAGATTTGAACATTACTACACAAGATCTCTAGGGAGTCATTATATGGGAAGACATCTTGAAGGAAGTAAATCGGTTGATTTATTCATAAGTCTAGTAGCAGGTGACTATCCAGTATCAAAAAGCAAGCACGCATATTGTCTTTGTCCATTGGTTTAAATAAAGATTAGTTTCACTTTGTATAGCACTGTTTCATCTCAGTATATTTCTTTATTTGAACTCGGTTAAATTTGTTAAATTCATATTTACTCCGTAATCTATCCTGCCGACCTTCCCTTTATAAAGTAGATCTAACTAACACTCTTTGAGGAATTCAGTTAACCTAAGAATACCAAAACAGCTAAATCCCCCTTTTGAAGTGGAACGTCTAATGAAGTATAGCTTATCCGTACTGAAAGTTTAAAAAATTGCATTGAATTACTCGATTAAAGACACATTCATTTTCTAAGTTATAAATGGGCTACAACCATAACATTCGCTTTCTTCAGGTCTGAAGAAGAAAGACCAGTGTTCTCTCCAAACATTTAGTATGTTCCACCATCAATAAAACTGTTTCTTATGCTTACAAATCGTTGTTTGCCTACCCGCTATAATAGTGTACACTTCATATTTGAGCCCAAAACTTTTGGAAAAAAATTGCGCGCTATACTCGAGTATTTACGGGAGATCACTATGCCAGTTTTATACCTACTTTACAACACAAATCGTATATGCATTCAGCTTACTAATTTGAAACCACAATCTTAGATGTCCTTTCAAATAAGTTTTAAAAATGAAATAAAAAATAAAACATTGATTCCATTTCTTAATAATATTCTAAATATCCAACAAAAAATCTTTTAGGTGGTGTTAGTACTGTCGAACCAGCGTTGTCATCGCAGTAATACTAACGTTAGGCTTGAGTTTTCTGACTTTTTTATAGTGCTAGTAGTAGTAATATTAATATTAGCAAAGTTGTCGAACTATTATCAGGAATTTTCTAGAAGGAAGACAATGGTATTTTAAAATATATTTTGTTTAACTTTGTTTTAAAGCCAATGGTAAACTATAAACCTATCTGAACGTACCCACATTAACTGGTTAAGACTTCAAATTCGATGACGAGGAACCCACTTTGAGACTTATAATGGCTGGAGACGGCTAGAATGGGTAATGAAGAAAAATTTTAATATAAGTTTAACATAACAGCAAATGTACAACGTTTCGACAAGGTTTCATACCTGATGATGACCAAACCTTGTCCGTTTGCTGTTATGTTAAACTTATATTAAAATTTTTCTTCATTACCCATTCAAGCCGTCTCCAGCCATTATTGGTTAAGACTTCATTCAAATGGTGTAATAATTACGTTTTAAAGTAATGTGAAATTGAAATTAATATGAGTAGGGCTAACGTTAATCATTAATGATATGCAATAGTAAACTTAATTTAACATACAAGTAACACAGCTAATGCTAACACATTAGAATTTACTTCTATAATTTTATAAACAGTTGCAGTAACCTAATTCAGTAACTGCTGTGATATCATCATACCCTATATGATAGTATCACAGCATTTGTAAAAGTTATTAACTATACTATAGTATAAAATATTAATAGTAGTACTTTTTCATTGTATTTTAGCCTACTGTTTAACAATTATAATGGTATGCATATTATGTCTATTACACCTGTGAAGACTGAAGCACAAAGAACTTCCTTAAAATGTATTTGTAAACCCTTTTAACAAAGCATTAGCATATTAGACTTCTGTTTTTCTCTCCTTTATTAATTTCTTCGACCAGTTTTGTGACTTTGTAGGTTACTTTTCAGGATGTAATTTTACAGATAGTCTATAATAAAAACGTTCAAATATTTTTCAAACAAACATAAATAACCTAAATTAAATAAGTATGTTTTCCAAATGTACAAACATATAATACATTTCTTGTAATGTTGTATAAAATAAGTACATCAAAATATGCTCAAGAATAAATGAAATTAGGTAAAGCTTATCCAATATACTATTCTTTTTTATATTCCTTTTTTCAAAATATTATTCTACTATACATTCTCTTGTTATTTTAGAAATGCAATTTATACATCTTACTTACTTTATTGTTCTTTTTATGTTTTCACAGTTCCAACCAACTTTACACAACCACTACTAATCCTGCCTTCTTACTTCTATCTAATTAAAGTGGCATCAAAAAAATTATGAAATATGTTTGAAATATAATACTTTATTTTTTACAGTACATGCCAAAAAAAGGAAAATGGAAAAACATGATTCTTTTAGAGTATTAAATTTTCTCAAAATAAATTCATTAAAATGTTTGCAGCATTCAGTGGGCTTTTTACAGGACATCTAAAACATAATTTATTTAAAGTTGCCCTTAATCTTAAATTATCTGTTTTACTAACATAGAACTCACCTCAATTTATACATTTAAAAGATGTATTATGTTCTTAGAATTGCAATTAAATTAGTTATTAATGAAAAACAAAATAGCTTTATCATTGTTCTTTATGGTTTTGCAGTTTTCATGTGATCTAAATTACCTAAAACACAGTTTTTCTTTCACAACTGAAAATACCTTCCTTAGAAAAATCTCTTTCTTTAGGTTTATTTAGTAATCTATACAAAGTTTTAGATTGTCTTTTGATAAAATACTTTTATTCTCTTTTGAATACGTCTTTCAGTTTTTTTATCTACTATTTGTTTTAATAGTATATTAACAAATGGATTATCAATATGTATATTTGAACAATGAGTCACAACAAAAGGTGTAATATTCTCTTTATGTTTACTAATATATCCGTTTAAATATTTGTTATTTTAAAAAAGATATTTTTAGCTATTTTCAAACCTCTTAAAATAGCATTTTCTGAATAGTGACACTGAACTAATAATTTCTTTTAGTTCTTATAGTCTGTTAACTTTAATTTAAACCATAATTGGAAACCAAATGATATAGTCTACTTGCACAATTTATAGGGAAATTTAATTTTTTATGTTTGGAATGATTACTTAAAAAATTTACATATTGATGAGTGTTTGTGGGTTTATAAAAATGTCAATTACAATCTCCCTTTCTGGTGAAACACCACCACCACATTTAAAAGGGACAAGGCTTTCTTTTTTTTTTTCCAACTTAATCTTAATCTCCTTGTTCATCAAGTTTAAAATTCCAACAAACTTATCAATATCTTAAGTATCTTTCCATATTGTCAAACAATTATCTAAAAATATTTTCCAAAACGTTTTGTTACATGAACTAAAAAAATTATCTTTAAAATAAGTAGGTGGTATTCGATGATGAGGAACCCACTTTGAAAATAATAATGGCTGGAGACGGCTTGAACTTTAATGAAGAAAAACTTTAATATAAGTTTAACATAACAGCAAATGTAAAACGTTTCGACAAGGTTTTGTCATCATCAG